TGTTCCTGCCTTGTGGAAGAAAATGGTTTCTGTAATTCACAGATGTCAAAGAAAAAAGAGCAGCTGAGTAGGATAAAGATTTGTTTTTCCTTCTGTGTCAAGTGTTGGTGAGATTAAGACCAGAATGTGTATACTCCTATTTTTTAAGAATTCTGGGAAAAGGCTGAGGAAGAGCAGAAGAAATTGTAAGTTATGAAAAGATTTAAAATAATACTTAGAGAGATATTTGAAGCTCACTGTATGTGTCCTTAAAAAAAGTTAAAAACTTTATGCAGCAGAAAAATGATTACACCCCTGCCCTTCACCTCTTGAAAAACACTTGTGACTGCTTCCCCGGCCTTGCCACCCACCCCCTGGCATGCCACACACACCTAGTTTTGTTTCTCACATGTGAAGTATATAATAGACCTAGGAGGTGACTGTATGGGTGAATGAATGATACCAAGGAAATAAAATTGAACCTAATAGGGTAAAAACAAGATCCAGACAAATTTGATGGAATACTTAACTGGAAATGTCCTTATGAGGTTTCTAGGGTTATGGGACATGGTTTTTTTTTCTCAGTGGAAGTTATGAAACTCGATTACCTTCTACTTAAACTATAAAAATTGCTAGGTATGTAAGGGAAGGGTTTCAGTGTTTCAGCTCTTGGAAGAAAGGTAAGACACTCAGAACTGCTTTAGATAAACTGTGATTTCCTTAGTTGATGTTTTTGTTTGGTTGTTTTTTTTACCATTGCTCTGTGCACTAGACTTTGCTCCAACAAAGTGGTGCCATCCAGGTAGATCACAACAATTCTGTGATTCAAGAGTAAGACCAGCCTGCTTGCCTGTGTGGCAGTCAGCATTGTCCCATTTAGGAGTTTGGTGTATTCCACAAGTGATGTCTTACATCTGCACAGGTGGTGGTGATTTGTTTCAGTAGTGTTGTAGATATAGGTTGTGAATTCCTTGATCCCAGAAAGCTGTTTCTCTTGTTTCTGGTGTGCAGGATGTGAGGGAATCAAAAGGACAGGGGGGAGCAAAAGGTAATGGAGAGGAGTAAAAAGGAGGTGTCCAGGTTTCAGTGGGTGAGGACTGGGATCCTGTTGGAGGACTTGGCATGTGACTGAGCAGGAAGCTTCAATGGTCCTAAATCCAGGTCTGTAAATTCAAATGATTTGAGATTTATATGTAGGATTGTGTACGAGGGGAATCGATCATTTCTGAACACTCAAGTTACAGTGCTAGTTTGTGAACACAGGTATGCATGCACCTACAGTTAACCTTGAGCATTGTGTTACTTCTGGAAAAACAGTGGGATTTTTGTGGGAGAGGACAAGTTGGTTATACAAGTCAGATGGATTTGATCTAGATTCTGAGGCTTTTTGTGTGACAGCCTGCAGTTTGCTAGCTCTAGGGAACGGAGTCCTTAGTGCAGTATTGGTAGAAGTAAAGAGTAAGCATGCCATTCTGTGTCTGTGATTAAGGCAGTGCCTGGGAAAGGCTGGACTTCCCTGTTTATGCACTGTGCATTTTAGGAGACACTCTCCTATGTTTTTTTTAATCCAGCTCTGGTGATCTAAAGTGCATTTCTGCTTTATAACAGCTGCTAATGATCCTTTGAGGAATTCAGGTGAATGTAGTACCCTTTTGAAAAGATGGAGGTGCATGTATAAACATCTCTAGCCAGAGAAGTGAATAACTAGCCTGTTTCCCATACCTTGGTTATTTAGTCACTGGTGTGTTGCAGAACTGTGTCTTGTCAGCAGATGTTGGGTGTGTTTTTTCAATAGGCCTACTGAACAGCTTCTGAAAGAAGACGGAGCAACACCCCCTTTTTAAGGTTGGGTTAGCTTGGAAGAAGTGCCTGAGAGAGAATGTTATGTATCTCAGGAACTTGATTGCTTGAAAGGTTTCTTGTAAATTGGTCTCTGGGTAGAGATGCCTAAATGCTGCCTATTTTAGACATGTAGGCAGACAACTGCATGGCTCCTTCTCTTGTTTTGAGATATTTTGTGTCTAGATAGAAGTTAACCTTTCCTGTAAACCAAATGTGACATCCAAACTTGCAGTAAACAGTGAAATCTTTCATTATATTGATCCAATAAATCCTTCCCGGGGCAGAAGAATAACTGCAAGGTATATCTTTTAAGAACAATTGAATACAAGATGAGGTAACTCTTTATGTGAGAGAATTATTTGGAACAAAATATGTACTGCATTGCACCCAGCTTTAAAGATTAATGTAAATTAAAAAAAAATAAAACATTTGCATTCAAAGAGTTTGACTCCTTTGAGTGGACATCTGTTTTTGAGCAATACTGGTGTTTTAGAGAAAAAACTAAAATTAAGAATTAGGCAGTTATGTTGTATTTTTACCTTTTTTTGTTTCAATCACTTGTATTACCATATTTGAGGGCAGATTTCCCTGTTGCTGTGCTGATTTACTCACCCAGCTGTTGGATTCTGCTTTGCAAATTCAGATGTGGCTTGTTGTCAGCTCCCTCTGGCAGTCTGCTAACGAGCCATGTTATAATCGGTGGAAATTTAAAAATTGTCAGAGCTTACTTGAATGAAAATGACTTGCTGGTTGACTTAGTAAAGATATTAACTGACTGACTAATTAAGAGAATTGTCAGTCATCTTTTTCTTGTATTAGTTGCAGAGACTTTTTTTTTTTTTTTTGCAAAGGTGGTGGAGAGTTTTCATCTTTCTAAGGATTGCGGGAGTAGTATACTTAATGACAAATTGACTGTTGTAGCTTCTGTTTAATGTGGGATGGGCAGGTTTGGACAAATATGTGGAACTATTTTCAAGGAAGATTATATGTTATAAAACTACATAGAGCCTCACAGATAAATGAGAAGAAAGCCTCTGATAGCTGCTATTTTCTTCTGAGAGGATTCAGCTGAGTTGTATCCCAGATCTGTAGAAATACGCAGTATTGCCATATTGCAGCTAGTGATGGACATGTTTGGACTTCTGCAGTATTCATGAAACTGGTCGATGGCTGGAGACATTTCAAGTGTGGGAAGAAGAGTGGAATAAAGGCATGTCTAGGATTACATGTTTTAAGGGATATTTAGAGCCATATGATGTGGTGAGTTATAGCACAACATTTTTGTAGCAAATGGTTTCTTAGAATTAGCTAAACAAAAAGTGAAGTTGACAACATTAGATAAAAGATTCCTCATGTTATAATTTGCTTAAATGTTGCAATTCTAAGCAGTTGAATTGTAAATATTAGTATTTTCATTTTAAGCACTGGAGCTATGTTCACTGTTGCTGTCAGTTTGCCTCTGAATGAAACAGTAATATTTTAGTCTCTTCTGGCAGGTGTTTTATTGGGAGTGTAATTTTGTTTGGTTTATTCCAGCCTTGTTTTTTTCTGTGTTGAGCTGAAAGAGAAAGTGATTATTTTTCTTTTTCTGGAATTTGCCTTTTTTTTTTTTTTTTTTTTGATCCTTGAATCTTCCACCATCATTACACTACTTAGGTTTCTTTCTTTTGTTTTGTTTTTGGTTTTTTCTGTGGGGACAGAAGTCTTTGGATTTTTTCCACAGAAATTCTACTGAAGTGCAGATTGCTAGGAAATGTTTTCAGAATTGCCATGCTGCCAATTGTAGACCAAATTCTTCTAGGGCATGATATGTCTGAACCTCTTAAGACCACCTTCGTTTAGAAGCTGTAGTTTACAATTGGCAGCTTTCTTCTATTTGCTTTTTCAGTAAAGCTTTTAAGGGGTCACATGATTTCTAGAGTGCGGCCCCATGAAAAATATTTCCTTTTTTTCCTGTGTATTTTACTATCCATTATTAAGAAACAGAAAAAAAAATCCCTGCTTGGGCTCTTCGATAGTTGGTACGTGTGTGCAATTGTATCTTTTAGGCAGTCTGCATACTGCAACTACTCGCCTTACTAGTGGCTATTCTACCTGAAGCTGCGTAAAATAACTGCTAGTAACTGGTATCTCTGCATATAGATATTGTCTTTTTAAGAGCAGTGAAGAGATCGGTTTCACAGCCAGGAAACAAAAAAGCTTTCTTATTTTTCTGAAGTTCAGAGAACTCTGTGTTAATGGTTGTAAATTTTATCTTCCTGGACTTTAGTGTCCTTTTCAGTTTGGTGAGATTCAAGAACAAAAAAGCTACTTTGTTAATTCCACATCTAGTAAAGATTAAAAGAGGGATACAAAAAAGCCACTGAGCATCTGAAGTACTGATCTTTTAGTTTCATTTGTACAAGCAGCAGCCTTTGGAGGTGAACCCCTGTGTTACATCATTAACAGCTGATACTACTGCTGTATTTAAATCTCCCTTTATTACAATATTGTCAGCTTTCCCCCACTGTTTTATAAGTTGCCTTGCATTACTTATCGCATGTTTTCTTGGTAAAAGTATTAAGATCCATTAATATGGAATCCTGCTATAATAACAAGAGCCATATGTGGGTAATTGCCTTGTTTGGCTATGCCTGAACACACTACGTACTGTAAAGAATAAAGCCTTCTCCCTGGGACTTGGGACTTTTGTTTTAGAAGGTGTAATTTGATTATACTTTTCTCATCACAGAGATGAGCTAGTTAGGGCTGGCTAAATTGCGCTGCATTACCTGAAGGCTTTTCCATTCCAGTGCTTGTGAATGTGTTTTGCAAGCTGACGTGTTGTGTCAGAACTATGTGCAGAAGTGTATCACATTAAAAAAAAAAGCCATGTGACATCTGGATATGATTTTTAATTTATTTTAATGAAATCTCTGTTATTTACTACAAACATGTTAAGATGGGATAAGATTGGTGTTTGTCAATATTATTTAGTGTAGATGAAAACACTGCTGTGTGCTTTCATAACATATGTGCCCAAAGTACTTCAGGTTCTTCTGAAGCTTAAGACTTTAGAGAAATGGGGAATTCCTTGCTAAAAAAAATTATATCAAAGTGTTGGGGAAGAGGGAAGTTATAAAAACATACTGTTGTCTAACGAGGCTCTCTTTTTCTTTCCTCCGTAATGTGAGGTAGCAATGGGTCAAGAAGCTGGCAAACCTGCCTGGCCCAAACCAGCAGGAGGATATCAGACTATTACAGGTAGAAGATATGGAAGAAGACATGCCTATGTTGGTTTTAGACGATCTTTGAATAGCCAAGACAGAGATGAACATCAACACAATGAAGACTACGAACAATTAGAATTGGAGGATGATCAGAAAGCGAATTTTTTATGTATGTACATATCTTTGTGTATGTGCCATTTAATTGCAAACTGAGATGGTTGGGGGTGGAGGACGAAGGCACATAGAGAAATGTGAAAGTAAGAGAGCAGCCACTTAAATAAGACATTAAGTACATTTCTTCTGGCTTTGTAGAATGAAACTTAGCAGGAAGGCAAAGTACAGACTACCTTAAGCTGTTTGATTTTGCCTGAAGAATGGCATTCCT